CTTTAAAGCTCTCCTCACCAGGTTAGTCAGCTCATTAGCAATGATGCTTTTACATCACATACATAGGTGGATTCCCATCTTCTTCCTAGTAGTCCTCCATCCTCAGAGGGTCCCATGAACATAAACCCATGCAAATCCCTGTTGCCAACACCAGCTGTCCAACCAGTTGTTGACAGGCAAGATCCAACAACTCTTCCTCAAGTCCTTCCCTCATCACTGGTAGGATCTGGAGAAAACCACCTGGTCTCCCATGCCCTTGCTCCAAGAGCCACGTAGTCATCAGTAATAAGCTCCAGGTCTCCCCAGCAGAATCCACTGGGGCTCATGTGAAAGAGCAACAGCGGTAAGTAGTTTGAGGACCAGACAAACCTCAGTCTCTCTGCAGTATTCTAGTTCCAATCTGTCTGCGAGTAGCAGACCTCCACAGACAGCAGATCAAGTCAGCAGATGGGAGTTTGTCCCCTGCAGAAGGGAGCATTCCACTACTTTTCACTTGCTGCTTTCTCCTGGTGCTGTTGTAGTAACTCTGGTCCAGATGCTTTGTCAGCTAGCAAGCTGCTGGAAGCTCTTTCTTCCAGAACACTGAACCCATTAGCGTAGCTGCAGATCTGCAGGAGGAACACGAGCCCTCCTCCTGGTGCCAGAAGTCATGAGCTTCTAGTCTTCAGCATTGGGGGAGCCTGTTCTCCAACCCAATAAACACAGACTGTCTGTTCCTCCTTCAGTACTGTCGGTGTTCATGCTCTTGCACCTGCAGGTTCTTGCAGGAGATCCCGTCATTCTACTTTGTTACCTCTCACAATATGCAGTCTGCTAACCCCCTCCCCTGCAGCTCCTTTGCTTAGTGACACTGATCTTCTACCACCACACAGCTCTTGCAGGCAGGGACCACCATTTCCCTCTGGTTCAGCAAGGGGCACAGGCATCCTAAGACCTGTGGAGCTGCATCTTCCCCCACAGGAATTCAGCTTGAGTCAAGGCCTCTGATGTGCCAGGATAGTTGTACTACAGGGCATGATCCCCACAAATGGAGCATCACTACCATTGCTAAGTAAACATACACTGTCCTCAGCAGTCTTTGGCCCCCTTCTGTGCAAACTGCTTCAAGAACAGCTGCATCTGTTGGTTGTGCACTTTTCTAGAAGATGCATCACAACAATGAGCAAAAAGGTAGGTATTGACATGAACAATGTATTTTAGCAAGTTTAAGGGAGACTACTATCATTCAAAGAGAAGCATCAACTCAATCTTACTACTGCTTCTCAACTCCTTCAGTGAGCTGGTGCAGTTCATCAACACAGCAGGAAGAGCCGAAAAGAGAAAACCAGTCTTTTGTTTAGCAAGCTAAACAGGCCCAACAAATGGCATACCAAGACCAGAACAGTGAATGGGGAAGGGCAGAGGCAGATTTGAATCTGGAGCTACCCCCTTCAATAGCAAGCTGTTGATCACCTCAGTTTCACTGCAACTCCTCATACTCTTCAACTCCTTATACTCTTTAACTCTGCTTAACCAGCTACCACTGCTAACTCCAGCACTGAGAGAAGAGGTTCTCCATCATCTAGATGAATGAATAAGGCTAAGATAGACCAAATTATTGGTATTTGTGAAAGTCAGTCCTGTTTATTGCACTTTGTCATACCAGCTTATAGCAATGTTCTATTTAGTCCAGTATTCTGTCCCTTGGACTAGTCAATCTCATGGCCCACGTATAGATCTTACAAGAAAATTACTCTTTTGAGATCTATGCTTTCTTAAGCACTATACTGTTTGTGAAAGACAGCTAATAGGGTAACTATTATTTGCAACTAATAGGGTAACTAATGTTTGTTTAGCAACATAATACAAAATACTTTCTCTATCCTAGAGTTACAGAATTCAATGAAAAACAAGTTTAAACTTTAAGAGTGTTCACCGTTAGGCAATGAAAAACAAGTTTAAACTTTAAGAATGTTTACTGTTAGATCTCATCCCATTAATGAGAAGCAAAGTGACTAGCTTCCTCTTGTACTGAAGAATAAGTCCTTAGTATTTTTATATCAAAGTTTGTGTTATACTACAGAGCTTTTGCAGACTTATTTTCCAGCCAAGCTTACCAGCTAATCAACTAGTTACACAATCCCTTTTTTCAATAAAGTTAATTTGACATATATCTCAATTCCTTCAAGTTCTTGTAAGCTACTGAGCCATTTGGAAAGTTTGTTTTCACAGAGCCTTACAAGATAAGCTGCTAGACTATTCTAGGGCCACATACACCTTTGACCCTCAGCCAAGCTTTGCCTGAAAGCCCCTCACAGCTCTTGTCTAGTAAGGGTGCAGTTAGACAAGATAACAAGCTAATTAATACAGAAACAGCTCTTTGTCCCCACCCTTGTGCCAGCTCACTAACAGGACAGAAATTGATTAACCTTTCCACTGTATTTTTTTTTTTTTAAAAACAAGTTAGGTGATCATTACTACCTAATCATTTGGTTAGTGAGCTGAAAACTGGCACTTGTTAAGAAGCGGGAGAACATTGCCAGGAGCATAAGGAGGAGGGAAGGAAATGCTTATTTCAGCAAAAGCTTGTTAGATTAGCTCAGGCATCTCATCTGGGCTCCACCGTAATTACAAAGAGCCAGTATATTTCCTACTTTCTCCTCCACCAAACACTGGTGTTCATACTGATGGCCACGTTTGCATAAGTAATTGACCCCTAACTCTGTAGTTGGCACAGCTGATTTTCGTGAAAAGCCAGTGTTTTAAGAACAGTAAAAATCCAGCTATATGATTTCATGAACCCTCACTGCTTCCACTGTTACTCAGTGCAAGCCTGCTGCAGGCACACAACTTTTACCTGCTTGGCTTAGAAGTTTTCCCTTTTGGATCATGCCATCAGTTTTTCACCGAAAGAAATGGATAGTATCTTTCACCCTTTCCCAAAGCATTAACACATTGATCTGTCCACTTTAACACGAGACTTTAGTCACTTCAGGAGTATAGGATATAAAACATCTTCACTGTCACTGAGCAAAGCACTTCATTGTATAACCATGAAAAATATGCATGCACTAGCCCATAGATACAAGGTCTGATGGAATTTAATAAAAACATCAGGTTAGAGTGATGAGGATTGAACTCACAACAAGTTACAGGAATTTAGCACAAAATTCAAGGAAGAAAGGTTAGGCAAATATCCTAGAGGTATCATTTAAAATGAAATGCTACCTGAAGAGCTTTCAGCCAAGCACTTATGACAAAGGAAGCTTTTTTGTCAGAATACTATATCTCCCATTTTCTACTAGAAAGCTGAGCTTCTTCCCACCCGACCCCCTCCCAAGTAGCTACAATACCTTTAAAAATTAGTAGATAAAGAGGGAGAGAGAGAGAATGATATACCTTTGTTATACTAAAGAACCTCAAACACCACCTTTAAGGACAGTATTAGAGAAAGGTATTTGCTTTTCTTCAGGTCCAACTCCTCCAAAGGTATCTAGGAGATCTCAGATTCATTCTCAGGGAATTATTCTAGCAAAATCATTATCCAGTTTAACGTGCCCACATGGAAAATACTGCAAGGAAACAGGAAGCAAACTTTGTCTGGCATTCAAAAGGAGCGTTACTGCCAACTCTTTCCTTCTACTATTTTTCAGTTCAAGTAGTGCTAAATACCAAGTCACCTGTGATCACTAATGTTGACCAGATTCTGCTGTATTTGTAGATGTGAATAATGAAATTCATTATAAGCAAGTTAAAGGCTTACCCTGCTAATATAAGTCTTGTTGCAAAGGTGTGAGAGCCACTTACTACTACAAGTGTTTCTTATGCTACTTGTCCAGACAGAAGGGCTTCTACCCCTAGTTAGATGTTAAGGAAAATAATTCTGACCAAAACAATATCTACCAATGTTTTCTACCTTCCTGACCTCCACCAGTATAAGACAGAAGTCAATAAAGTAAGAGCCACAATGACAAAGTAGTTCCACCATCACTGCTACAAAACTAGTCACTCTGACAGCTCATATGGTCTTTCCTGTTCAAGGGCACAAGTAAAAGCATAACTATCTGCTCAAAGAGGTTTTGAAACACATACTTACACAGTAGTTCTCTACCAACCTGGCTCCCGAGTTCTACCAAAATTGCTATTGCCCTCAGAGGGAAAGCTTCATTTGAATGCATTGCTAATTGCCCAACACAACACAAGGAATGGCTGATCCTCTCCCAAGTGAGGCAACCCAGGGAGAGGTGGAACTGGCCATAAGAAACCTGGCTCTACACATACCAGCAACAAATTGCACAAAAGCAGCAGGCTAAAAAAACCCACATATACACACACCCCCCACACAGCTCAAAGCACAGCAAGCAGATAAGCTTAGCATTGTGTTTCATTCTTCAAGGGAACCAAATCTTTAGTACTTGCTCCTATTAGTTTTAATAAGTAGCAGGTCAGCTCCTCTAAACGAAGGGCTACAGTAACTGAAGGAGGACCATCTGTTCTGGAATGGACAGACTTGAGAGCTTCTGAATCAGTCTCAGTAAAAAGGCTAGTTTTCCAAGAGGAGCAGAGAACAACTAATGAAGAATGTTACTTTTAATTACCCTTAAACCCACAAATCAAGAAAGATTAAACTTCTTGGCTTATATTTTTTAAGGACAAAGAGGCTACAAAACAATTTTTTATTAAAAGAAATTCAGTAACAGGAAACTTGCCTGGTAGTTGAAGTAAATACTGGTACGGCTCTAGAAGGATTCTTTTAGATGTTTCATCCATCCCATCCATTTCTTTATTTAATAAGAGGTAGTTCACTGTTAAAAAAGGATTATTAGCATTGCTGAGATCAAAGAATCAGAGAAGTAATGAAACAGATCATCATACAATTCAGAAATACTAAGCCAACTTCTAGACTAGGTGCAAGTACTCCTTTGAATATGACATCTTTGGTGATTACTACCTTCACTACACAAGAGTTTGCTGAATGTCATTTAGACAAGCAGCAAGCATGTTTTAAATACAGGACTTAAAGTTTTCCAGAAATAGTTTAAACCAACTCCTAGACTTGTAAGGTTTACTTTGACTTCTATTAGAAGTCTTTAAAGAGAAGCATTCACAACAATTAAGCCTCACTATAAGTCTCTACTGAAGAGAGATGGCATATACAAAAACTCATATAGGCACTCTAATTAGACTTCCCCAGATGCTTTCCCTAACCAAAAGGGTAGGTTGTCTTGATGTACAGCACATTTTCTGCTCTGAGGCATCCATGCAAGTTGAACACTGGCTTGAGTTTTTTCAAAGAATTCTTCAATCTTGTTTTAGGAGGAAGAACAGGAATATATTACTTTCTTGCCTTTAATAAGCATCCAGACATCTCTACACAATTTCCCATATTACATATACTCTTATGACTCTTTTAGGATCCATTCCCTTCTACTTCAGTTATCAATTGATTGTTTTCCAGCTCACATAGCTTAGCACCTATATTTGCTTTTTTCCCCCACCCTTTTCAGGCGGTTTTCTGTAATAGATTTTCCTCTCCTTTCACCTCTAGCGTTCCTTGCTGCACTGCAGATGCAGCAGCTCAAAACAATTCTTCTAATGTCATTTTAAGACAGGAACTGCAGCAGTAGCATAAAATTTCTCATGCTACTTCAGCATCATTTCTCAGTTATTGAGCAAGCATCTTGGAAAGCATGTACTTTTCCCTCTGCAGCAACTGAATGATATTATAAGTTACCAACACAAGAACTGCTTTAAAGTGACATCTTTAAGTATGGACAGAGACATTTTTAATATAGCTATATTAAAGGGAGCGGTTAACACCAGTGGGCTAAACTCTTCCACACCTGCTCAAAATAATCCAGCAATGTAGTTTCCCCTCAACAATTCAGAGGATTAGCATTAAGATCACTGCTTCCTCTTAAGACACCTGGACCAACTGGCATTCCTCAGCATTTCAGCATCTTTTCCCTTTCAGTGGCAGCTTATTCAGTCCCTGTCTACTCCCATTCCCACCCTCCTGCCCCATAAATATTTGTAGCAGCCCAAACTGGGGAAATAATTCACATGAACAATTATTTTCCAAGTTTACGTCTAGATCAGTTCCTTCATTTGGTTCACTACATGAAACCACACTGCAACTTCAGAGGCAAGAGGCTGTTGAAGCAAGCACAGTTGCCCAAGAAACACTCATAAGACCATGCCGTTTGGGAAAGCTTTGCATAGGTTTTCATCAGCAATGCCACAATAAGTGGTACAGCTCTTCCATCTCATGGTGTACCAGCACAACTGACTGTCAGGCCACACCATAATCTAAGTCAGGCTTAACACAACTCTTTTTGTGTCATCTTATTGGTATAACTGAAGGGACAGGAACTGCTTTTGAGCCAGCACTGCCACTGAGGAAGTCAGCTGTGAAACTGCACCCTCATACCTAAAGGGCAAGCCTCAAACTTCTTCAGTGAGGAAGGACAACCAAAAAGATTATCCCAGTCCATCGTCAGATATTTTGACCAGAAAGAAACTTGTAGCGAAAGACAGAAGGAGGCACTAACCAAGTTAACACATCTCCTATGACTATTATCGCCAAAAAGCCACACAGCTGGCTTAGAAGTGGAAGTGTTTAGCTACCCACAGAGCTAAAGAGAGAGATGCTAAGGTTGGAATTTCTTCTCTGTCAAGGCTTCTCATAGCTAGAAAAGCAGTCTACAATGAGCATGCACAGTAAATGCTTTTATGCTTAAATGCATGCTAAGACTGAAGTCTTTCCCAACACAAACTGCTTGAAAGTAAACCTTGAAATTCTTCTTCTTCTTCCCTCAGAGGATAAGAAGGTTTCTTTCTTGTCTGTAGGACAGGCAAACAAAAGTAAACCTTGAAATTCTTCTTCTTCCCTCAGAGGATGAGAAGGTTTCTTTCTTGTCTGTAAGACAGGCAAACGGCATTCAAGATCCTTAACTAGCTTGAAATAGGCTGGTATTACACCACTAAATCCCCAGCCTTCTAGTGCTAAACTGACAGAAGTCTCCTATATTAGTTTCTGAGACACTGCTTATCCACAGAAAGTTAGCCAGACACTTTTCCCTACAAGGGCCTAGATTTCTTCCTTTTCAAGACAGACATAAGGAAAAACACTTTAAGAGACAAATAATGGTTGGTGACTTAGCTTAAATTACCATAGCTAAGCTTTTCTAGGCTGCTATGCTACCTCTACATGAAATGGTAGATAACCTGTGCTAAGGGAAAAAGCAACAGTCTAATCATTCATAAGAAAACTACTTGTCTAACACACACAGCAAAAAAGAATAGTGACTAGAACTCCCCAAAGTTATATAAGAAAGAGGACACCTGATGAAATATGTAAATGAAGACGCTTAAAGGCTGATCAGCAAGAATATAATGAAGCATGAGAGAAGACGGAGAGCAGTAACATCACTGCTCTTTGCAGAAAGTTCCTACATTTAACACACCACAGGAAGTTATTGATATTAAGGATTTTTCACTTAGGCAGCTGATCAACTTACTATAAAAGTTACACTGCTACAAAAAGTCCTCTCATTTAAGAAAATTTGAGACAAGATCTCAGTCAACATCTCCCAAAAAAGTAGAGCTGCAAGAACTTCAACAATAAATGAAAGGGAATATAAAGCCTTTATTGGTGGAAGGGCAATCTTGCATGTAGGTTTATTCAGAAAATTAAGGCAGTTAAGGCAATTTTGCTTAGTTCAGTTTTCTTTCAAACTGTACACACTTCCTGCATGTCAATTAACACAAAGCTTTGAATTTTTTCTAGCAGCTCCATATAAGCATACTGTAGAACAGCTGCTATAGGCACAATCCACGCAGTGACGAGACAGAACCCACAGAACTGTCTTTTGAACTGCAACATACTTTATCTTTAATGATCTCACTGAAAACACACAAGATGCTAGAAAAGAGCAGCAGTATGGGCTTCCAGAAGTTGGAACTACTAGAGATAATTACTGAAGCAGTGATCCATAAATAGGAGCTTTCCAAAGAGGAGGCAAGTAACATTAGACCTATGTTGCACTTAAAGTAAATCTTCACTTTTGAACTTCATAAACAGCTTCTCACTCCATCCCTTCCACTCCGCAGGATATTCTCTGCCCTTGTCCTCAGCTCCAATTGGTGAAATAAGCAAGATGACCAAAGTGTTCCAGGCTACATATACACCTAACAGAAAATGGTTCTTTAAAAAAAGCTGCCTCATCTCAAGGGCTCCATTCACAACACAATTGCACAGAAAATAAAACAGAGCCACCAAAGGAGCAGTGAACTGCACTGAAAAAAAACACCCAACCACCCAGAAAGTTCTTAAATCAGCCTCATCACAGAATGAGGTTCACTGGGACACTGGTTTCATTGTAACCAAGGAAAAAAGCCCCAACACAGGGGGAAGTAGGAGCGAGAAAGTCTGTTTCAGAAGGAATAAACAGATACTGTTGTGAATGCACACTGAATTGAAGAGGCTATCAAGGCTCCTAATCCAACTGGGATTTGGACAGGATGCTTGTCATCCTAGTTCACATTCTCATTCTAACTAGAAGAGTTCTTGTTAGAACTTCCTGGACTGATACTGAACAAAACCATATTGCACTTAGAGTAGGCAACATCCCACAGGTTGAACAATGGCTGTAAGGCATCCTTAAAAAAAGCAGCTAAATTACTGTCTTTTCATGGCTGCAATTTAACACTTTAGCCCTGCAACACCAGAACAGCTAGAACATCGTGTTGAAATGGAAACACAATTTCAGCAATATCTCCCGGTACAACTGAGTAACAACGACACAGCAGCAAGAGGAAGAGAACCAGCCTCCTGAAGTCCCCACACTTAAGTGGTGGCAGCATACAGACAGAAAGAGTGCAAGTTATCAGCTGATCCAAACACAGAAAGCAAACCAGCAGAGACCAGAGTCATGCCTACTGCAGAATCGCTTCTCAGATTAAAAGTCGCATTTCGCAAAGAACATGAAGTTGTTACCCTGCTAACAGATGCGTGAACCCTCCCTCCCCCATCATAATCGCAACAAAGGCGGCACGGTTCATTTTTCAGAGTTTGATGCGAGCGCTGTAAACGCAAAGGAGGCTGCAGAACCTCTCCGAAGCGCTCCCACAACCCAGGAGTGGGCAGCTCAGCACCACCAGCGCCATTTTAGATAAGACACGGTCGAGAGCGCGCTGAGGACTCCTCGCTCCCCCTGCCCGCCGTCCATCCCCATTTTCTGATCGGCGCGGCCGGCAGCCCGAGCTCAGTCGCCGGGCAGGGAAGCGCCGCC